GAAGGTTGTTTACTATATAGATCACGACCGAATGGAAAATATTTTGGAAAATGCAAGTGTGACTGAGTCTATGTTTACTGCATGGCTGGTCACAAATGCATAATATGAAGAAGCCCGGTCACTGACTTATGCTCAATTTGTCTCAATGTCTATTTACGACAAAGGAAATAGGGTCTGGAGGCCATGCAAAAGAGGGTTCATAATAGGTCGTTTGATATGGGTTCCTCCGACTACTGGAGAATTTTTTTATTTGAGGATGATGTTGACGGTAGTCAAGGGACCTACAAGTTATGAAGATATTCAGAAAGTTGGGGACAACCAATATGATATATTTAAAGATTTGTGCTTTGCTATGGTCTTTCTCGATGATGATAAAGAATACATTGTTGCTATCAAGGAAGCAAGTGAGTGGGGTTTAGGATATTTTCTTCGCAGAATTTTTATTGTAATGCTAATGTCGGGTGCTATTAACCAGCCAGCACATGTTAGGACAGAATCGTGGCAACTGTTGTCCGGTGGTATTTTGCATTGCCAAAGATTATTAGCTCTAAATCTGGGTTTCTTCATATCTTAGTCACACTTATTTATGTAGACTATTTATTATGTTGCAACCTTACTTTCAGCGTGCTGCCGCCGCAGGCATGCATGTATTTTTGTTGAACTTGTGTCTAATCTAACTACTTCAAAACTTTGTTTTGCATCCTGCATCCGTACAGATTTGGCTTTGACAGAAACTGAATTGCAGAGTCTGACTTTAATAGAAATTGAAAAGCTAGTGCAGGTAAATAGAAGGACTCTCAGATTTTAGTCCAATTCCATATCCACACACCTATGTAGTACAACAGTTGGGAAATAGGTTCATATATGATGAACATAATTATGATTATGCAGCTATGAAATTGGAATTTACGAAATTGTTCAATGCTTTTATTGGTAATTCTGCAAATTTGTTTTCTTATGTTAAACATTACCATTGTCCTCCTGGATTTTTTATTTTACCTGTTCCTTTTCAACATTTCTTAGATGAACGAAAAGGCATATATCAAAAAATTATGGGGGCTTTCCAGTCCCAGGATGGGGATGTCTTCTTCCTTCATGGTTCTGGCGGTACTGGTAAGACCTATATGTGGAGAACCCTGGCGGAAGCTTTGAGGTCCAAACATGAAATATGTTTAACGGTTGCCACCAGTGGTATAGCTTCTTTGTTATTATCAGGGGGTAGAATTGCACATTCCAAGTTTAAGATACCTGTACTAATGCTTGATAATTCTACTTGCAAAGTTGAATATAACAATGATATTGCAGACCTTCTAAGATAGACAAGGCTAATTATATGGGACGAAGCACCCATGGCACACAAGAATGCTATAGAAGCACTTGACAAAACTTTGAAAGATGTTATGAGTACGTACAATAATTCTGAGGATATGTTTGGTGGAAAGGTTGTAGTTTTTTTGTGGTGACTTTAGACAAATTTTTCCTGTTGTCCCACGAGGCAACCGTTCGGATATTGTTCACTAGACGATAAATGCATCTTACATATGGCATTTAGTTCAGGTTTTAATGATAACAAAAAACATGCATTTGCATTCTGGTACGACAAAGCAAGATAAGAAGGAAGTTGCAGATTTTTCATATTGGATTTTGAGAATCGGTGAAGGCAAAGTATCAAAGCCTAATGGCGGTGTTGCAGAAATTGACATCCCCCAACGAACTTTTGATCACGGACTTTCATGATCCTATTATTGGCATTGTGAATAGTACATATCCCGATTTCATTAATAATTATCAGTCCAACGATTACCTCTGGGGTCGAGCAATTCTAGCTTCAACATTAGAAGTTGTGGATGACATCAACGACCACGTTCTTGCTTTAATGCCAAGTTGTCATATTCTTCCATTTTTCTTACTCTCTAATATACATTGACTTCTATTTGTTAATTTATTTCTGTTCTGAAAACAGGAAACATACGCGACTACTACAGTTCAAATACAATTGATAAGTCCGAAATTCATGACACAGAAGTACTTGACATCCTGACACCAGAATTCCTTAGTTCCCTATGTACATCAGGTTTACCTAACCATCACTTAAAGTTAAAAGTTGGAACACCTGTTATGCTAATGCGGAACATAGACCAGTCTGAAGGTTTGTGTAACGACACAAGATTAATCATAACAAAATGGAAAACCATGTCCTTGAAGCTTCAATAATGTCAGAAAAGGGTTCTGGAAATTTAGTTTACATCCCTAGGATGGATATGTCACCGTCACAGTCACCATGGCCGTTGAAGTTAAATAGACGACAATTCCCAATTATTGTCTCATATGCCATGACGATTAATTAATCACAAGGATAATCTTTGGATAACGTAGGTCTCTACTTTCCAAGAGATGTATTTACCCATGGTCAAATTTATGTTGCTCTATCGAGGGTCACAACAAAACAAGGAATCAAAATATCGATACATGATGAACATGGAAGTTCAAAGTGACAACTACAAATGTTGTTTACAAGGAAGTTTTCGGTAATATATGACTATTCAAATGTTAGGTACGCTTTTATGTTATTGTGCATTATTTCCTTTAGGCTTTAGTGAGTGTAGTACATGAGTTTGTAACCTCACTATTCGGTATATTTAGGAATTACTATTATGCATCTTCTATCAAAAATATATATGTTGTTCCTTTTATATTTCTTAACACACACCAATTTTGTTTGATTATTATACCATTTAATTTTGGCATTTAATTTTGGACTGTTGAGCATAACATTCTCTGTGTAATAGTTTGTAGTAAAACATAACCCTTTTCTGACATTAATTGAAAGACGTAACTCTTTGAATAAAATTAGAAGCTAAATATTGTAATAAAACAAAGGTTTTATAGCAATAGTTTGTTTCATAAGAACACACTGCATTTCATATCAGTGTTACTTAGACGATATCTTCAATACGTTGGATAGCATATCATTCACACTACTTTCTTTATGCCTCATGTTACTGTCATAATATATAACTATAAAACAACTTGTTGAACTCATGTTGTTACTTTTGCTATTATAACATCAATTATCTAGATATTTTACTGCACAATGGTTACCATATCAAAATCCATATAACGAAACTTTAAATATTTCATATCACACAATATTTACTAAATACTTGACCGTAAGCAAGTCAAATGTTCAAACCGTACAAATATAAAGACACGTAGTAAACATAAACAAAATAAACACATGGTTGATCCTTCTTTTCCATTACATATCCAATACAATTTGTTTCATTGTCTCTTCTTTCCCGGCTCAACATATACCAGTATTTCATCGGCTAGCGGATATCAAATGCAAAAATGCATGATGTCTCCTTTCTTTAATTCTTCTTGTTTAGAAAATTCAAACCAACCAGTCGTGAGATACTTCTCGCCTTCATCATTATTCTTCACTTTCACTACACAATTCTCTGAGATACCCTTCTCCGAATCATATAACTCAATCGAGTTGACTGGTCCACTAAGGGACTTCTTAATCACTTCTTAAATATTTGGTCAATATGTTTGTTTCAAAATTTATGATATTTCTGTTTCTTTTGAATGTCTTTACCAAAATTATTTTGTGTATCGTTAAACTTATATATGTTTTAAAATATTGTCTTATCTTATAATTAAGTATGTTTGTTTCTTATAATTCTGTTATTATCATTATGTGACAATTAGAATTAATGCACCTATAAGAGAAAATGCTTGACAAAACTTACGATCTTTTGTTTTGTGCTTTAAAAGAGGTTTATATATTTTCCATTTCCAACCATCATTCATTTTTCATTTTTCCTTTTTACCTTGTATTTATAAATATCAATCAAATTTATTTATTCCTTTTTTCGTTGAATGTATTTTTTATTACTCCGCTTACCCTTTAAACCAATATTTATAAAGCTAAATTATTTTGTAAAACTACGTTATATTGTGATGATTTTTTTTTTCCGTACATTAACATAAACATCAACTAATTCTGGAAATAACATATTGTCTTTTTCGTTCAATCAATTATTTCAACAAATGAGCGTGCCCGACCAGTACCCGTGCAAACGCACGGGTATCCCACTAGTTATGGTAATAACTTTTGTACTTGTGAACGGGAGCCTAACTGATAAGCTTAAGATGAAAATTGTTTTCTATATAAAACAGAGCAATTGCAAGCGTTATCTGAAAGGGTAGAGTTTCAGTCATTTTGGTGGTTAAATTTTAAATATGTTCCTTTCGATTATGATTATCAATTATAGAGGTGAAATCATTTAATTTACTTATCAACGACTATATAGATCGTTTTTTGTTGATTTTTTCACAATTTTAAATTAAAATTTTAGATTCTTTCTTATCATTTTCGATGCATATTATTTTAGAATGATTAGTTTTGATCGCTAATGTATATTTTATTTTTTATTTTTCAATAAATTATAATTTAAATCTTGATTTGATATTTAATTTAATAAACTTGATCCACTCATTTATTACACTTTGATATCTAAGTTGTTTCTACCTTGTTTTTTAGATATATTTTATTTTATTCAAATTTTTTGTTTCTTAGTCGAGAGCTAGAGTATAACATTTTTGGTTGGATGTTATTTGGAGTATTTGAAAGTTTAGAAATAATATTTTATTTAATAAAGTTTGTTTTAATTTTAAAGATTTAGTTTAATTAATTAAATTATTAGCATGAAAATAATTTTTTATAGGAAATATTTCTAATTTTTATGAGTTTTGTAGAAATTTTATAGTTAGTTTTAAATAAGATGTAGTTGATTTAAGCGGACAAAAGTAATTCTAATATTTTTCGTATAAAATTCTTGCTTTGAGGAAGAAAAAAAAAGAGTATAAGATCAAGTCAAGGTAGTCTAAAATTTAACATGTGAATAATGAAGTAAGAAAACTTAGTACATATTTCAATCATCTATAATTTATGTATGACCATATAATAAGACTTATTGATATATCAGAAAATAATGGATGTAGGGATTCTTTCTTTGGAGGTGATTCCAATGGGAGGGAACAAAGTGTTCATTAAAGTTCAAGAAGAGGAAGATTTTCATACGTTGTTTAAGGAAGCAAAGGAGTTTTTCCAATACTGGTTCACAAAAGTAGAGGAGTGGTACCCAAAAGCAGTCATGAATGGTAAGATTACTTGGATTAAAATGTACGGGGTTCCGATACAGGCGTGGAATCAGAAGTTCTTTGAAAAATTAATCATTGGCAAAGGGAGTTTGGTATTTGTGGGCATTGTTACAGAGAAGAAGAGAATGTTTGATTACGCACGATGTCTCATAAGAAAAACATCAATGGAGTCTTTAAATAAGGCTGTCCAGGTCAAGGTGAATGGGCATATTTACAACATCAAATTGAAAGAGGAAGAATTTAGTTGTCCAGTAGATATCCAAACTATGAATCAATCATTAGAAAATGAAGATTTTGAGTCATAGAGGGAGGAAGATCCATTATCCATGAGAGAGTTGGTGGAGGAAGACGACAATGAAGTGGAATTGTTGGAGAATAATTATGACAAAATCGTGAATATTAATGAGCCGTATATGGAAGAATGTGATTTACATGTTCCCAATAATTTGAGCGTTGAGCTGAACACGGTTCAAGGTGGAGGTATGTATAACAAAGTGGGACCCAACCAAAGTATTGATGAAAGGCAAAGTATCAGGACTAAGTCTCTTGATTGGTTGGAAAACACGTATCAGTTCATTGGGCCTTAGTTGAAATTGTTAGTCCAAGTGGAATTGGCTAATAAGAAGAGTAAAAATAGGGGTGGAGAGAAGGTAGAGATGGGCCAAAATAAAAGAACCATTTTTACAGCCCAATAGCCCAGAACAGTTAGTAAATCGGGTCAGGAAGGAGGGAGTATAGAGGTTGGAGCGGGTAATAAAATTGGGGCGGTAGAAGACGGGTCGGGCCCTGAGGGTAATCATCAAGGAGGCATAGGTGTAGCTCAAAACTATTTTGATGTTGCATCCATTAATGGAGGTGAGCTTGAAGGTGATGAGGGATGTAGAACCAAAATTGATGTGGAGTCGATGAAGAATGCGAAAGTTAGAACGGTTTCAAATTTAGCTTTCAAAGTGGAAGCAGTTGAGTCAGAGATGGTTGTAGCAAAAAAAGTGAAGGGTGAGGAGTCCAAAGAGAGGAGGAAAATTAGGAGATTTATCTTAATGGAGAAGAGAAAATCTAAAGTAAAGAGGAAGGTTAGAGGGAAGGGTCGACATAAAAAGCGGCCAACAGACAAATCGAAGGTAATGATTCCTGCAAATGATCTTAGCCAAGTTAATACTGATGAATTGAAATCCTGGGGTTTGGTTCATGGAGGAGCTTCAAAAATATCAAAGGGAGTGTGGGAATTTGGAAATAAAATCGGGGTATCAAACATAGGGGAAGTAGGGGAGACTTTGGAAATTTTGTGTGAGAATGAGGAAAGAGACAATGCAGCGGCGATAAAGGTTAGGGGAAGCGATACTGTCGCCAAATGACAGTGTTATATGAGTTGGGAGGAGAGAATAAGGAGTTCAATGGTTAATATGAAGATTATAAGTTACAATATAAGAGGTTTAGGAGGGGCTATTAAAAAGAAAGAGGTGAATCAGGTGATAAGATCAAACAATCCAGACATGATAGGCATACAAGAAACTAAGTTAGTAACAGTGGATAAGAGAATGTGTGAAAATTTGTGGGGATCGAAAGACAGTGACTATACATTTAAGGCCGCTTAAGGGAGAGCTAGGGGGCTCTTATTATTGTGGAATCCAAAAGTTTTCATAAAGCAGACTAACTTTGGAGGTGAACACTTCAGTGGTGTGGAAGGATTATGGGGCGTTGAAGGTTTGCATGTGTTCATTATGAACGTATATTCTTCATGTGATTCCGGAAGTAAAAGAATATTGTGGAGTAATCTTAGTGATATAATAAAATCAAACAGGGAGGCAGGTTGATGTGTCTTGGGAGATTTTAATGCAATAAGAACAGAAGAGGAAAGAAGAGGTGTAAGAGAGTATACTAGAAGAGATGAGCTAGTGAATTTTGAGGACTTTATTTCTGAAACATATCTGATAGATCTACCTCTTAGAGGTAGGCGCTTCACATGGTCAAAGCTCGACGGGTCTGTGATGAGTCGAATTGATAGATTCTTATTATCGGAGAGATGGTTACTTCAATGGCCAACTTATTCCCAATGGAGATTGAAGAAGGGAATATTCGACCACAGTCTTATTGTGATTAATGAGAAAATAGAGAATTGGGGACCGAACTCGTTCCACTTTTTTAACCATTGAAGAGAGATACAAGGCTATCATAAGTTTGTGGAGAAAACATGGAGGTCATTAGAAGTACAAGATTAGGGAGGGTGTGTTATAAAAGAGAATATTAAATTGATCAAGATAAGGATTAAAGAATGGAGCGAGAACCATTCTGGAAATTTGGAAGGGAAAATCTAAGAAGCTAAGAAGAGATTGAATGAATTGGAGATTAAAAGCAAAGAGACAGATCTATTCGCAAAGGAGATAGACTCCAAAAGAGAAGTATCGGCTCAACTATTCTCCTTGTCTAGAATGAAGAACAATATCATGTGGTAGAAGTCAAGGATGCGGTGGCTTAAAGAAGGGGACGCTAATTCGAAATCATTTCACCAGTGTGTGATTAATATAAGGAAGATTAATGAGATTTCTTGTATACAAACACATGATTCAAAGTTAACAGAAGTTTAGGAGGTTAAACAAGGGATACAAGAACATTTCTTAGAACTGTATAGTAATAGAATGATGAATAGGCCAGTTATTAGAGAAGTTGAGTACAAGATGTTAGATATGGAGGATAACGAGGCTTTGACGATAGAGTTTAATATGGAAGAGATCAAAAGTACAATTTGGGATTGTGATAGCTCGAAGAGCCCCGGGCCGGATGGTTTAAATTTTTGTTTTATCAAGGAGTTTTGGGAAGTGATTAAGGAATATTTTCTGAGATTTATTTCAGAATTCCACTCAAATGGGTGGATTGTTCGAGGGGCAAATAGTTCGTTCATAACTCTTATCCTAAAAGTTGAGAATCTAGTAAAGTTGAACGATTTCAGACCTATATCGCTATCCGGGTGCATGTACAAAATGCTCACTAAGGTACTCGCAAATAGGCTAAAAAAAGTGGTTAATAAGGTCGTGTCAGAGTCTCAATTTTCCTTCATGGAGGGGCGTCAAATGCTGGATTGTGTCCTCGTTGTAAACGAGGTAGTCGATGATGCTAAGAGGAGAGGGAAAGAAGTCTTACTCTTTAAAGTAGATTTCAAAAAGGCTTATGATTCAGAAGACTAGAAGTTTCTAGACGTCACGATGGAAAGAATGGGGTTCAATGGAAAATGGCGAGGTTGGATTTCTGAATGTTTACGATCTGCATCGTATCGGTTTTGGTAAATGAGAGTCATACAAAAGAATTTTGGATGGAAAGAGGATTGAGGCAATGGGATCCTCTATCTCATTTTCTCATTTTGTTGGCAGTAGAAGAATTAGATGTGATAATGGTGAAAAGCATACAACTGAAACTTTTTGATGAGTACGAAGTTGGCAAAGGTGAGGTGAAGGTGTCTCACATTCAATACACTGACAATACTATAATTGTGGGAGAAAATATTTGGAAGAACATTTGGGTAATCAAGGAAAATCTCTAACTTTTTGAGTTGATTTCCAGGCTTAAAGTAAATTTCCATAAGAGCTCATTGGTCGGAGTAAACATTCATCGTTCATGGTTGGAAGAGGCTGTTGAGGTTCTAAACTATAAGGTATAGACAACCCCCTTCAAATATCTTGGGCTCCCGGTAGAAGGTAATCATAGGAGAGTGGGTTCGTGGAAGGCAGTGGTGGATACTGTGAGGCGGAGGCTGACTTCATGGAACAATAATTATCTTTCAATCAGTAGGCATATTATCCTCTTGAAGTCAGTCTTATTTGTAATTCCAATCTATTTCCTTTCCTTCTTCAAGGCTTCGGCAGGTATCATTTTTCAAATTGAATCTCTTTTTTAAAAAAATTCTTTGGAGAGGGGGAGTGGAAAAGAGGAAAGTAAATTGGATTAAGTGAGATAAGATATGCCGTGAAAAAGAGGAGGGAGGGTTGGGGATTAAAAATTTAAAAGCTTTCAATTTAACATTATTAGGAAAGTGGAGATGGAGATTTTTAAATGAAAAGGGTTCAATGTGGGTCAGATATTAGAATCTAAGTATGGGGGATTTGGTCAAGAATCGGGCAGGGTAGACAGATTTAAGTCGTTATGGTATAGAGATATCCAATCTGTTGATATTGGGGAGGGCGATTTTAAAGGTCTGTGGTTTGAGGAAAATGTCGCTAGAGAAATTGGAGATGGCGTGCATACAAGGTTTTGGTACAATCCTTAGGTCGAAGGAAGGTTTGAAGAAAGTATATCCGAGTTTGTATAGGTTAGCTCTAGACAAAAAAGTTTCTGTTAGAGAGTCGTTTAGGAGGGAAGGATAGGAGTTGGTGTGGATAGATAGATGGACATCTAATTTAAACGAGGACAACCTTATATTAAAGGAGGAAATCATAGGAACTATTCGAGGACTAATCTTGAAGGAAAATGTGGCTAATTGGTGGATATGGGCCAAAAAGACGTATACTGTGAAGGAAGCTTATGCAGAAATTTTGGAAGGGTCTCACTTACAGAATAATGAAGAATAAGGTCTAGCGGCTGCGTGGAGCAAAATTGTTCCCCTAAAAGTGTCGGTGTTAGTCTAGAGGGTGTTGCAAAACAAAATCCCGATGAGAGATAATCTAATCAAGAGAGGTATTGTGGCTGAATCTCAAGGGTCTTGTCCATTTGGGTGCGGAAAAGAGAAGAGCGTGACACACATTTTCTTTGAGTGCCCAATAGAGACATCATAGTTGAGTGATATTTCGAGATGGTTGAATATTTCTGGTGCCTTTCATAATTTTGCTATGCAAAATTTATTTATCTTTTTATAGGGTTATGTAATGGTGGCAGGAGCATACAGGAAAAATTTCTCGTCATTTGGTACGCATGTATTTGGACTATTTGGAGAAGGCAGAACAACATAGTTTTCAGAAATAACGAGAGGCAGGGAGAAGCTTTTATCTATGACATTCAGTTAACATCATGGTGGTGGATTAGGATCAAGGTTAGAGGGTTCCAAATTTGATCTTTATCAGTGGATTTTTAATCCAAGAGTATGTTTGGGCTGTAATGATGGATAAGCTATTTGTGTTAGAGTTTCTGGCGGATCCGAAAATCATGGATGTGGAGAATACCATAGATATAGGTTGTTGTTTATTATAGCTAAAGTAGTATCACTTGCGATATCGTGTGTTAGTCGGCTGGTATTAAATGGTAGAGTCGATTTCTCTATGCAGCATATTGCATTCATTGGCGTGGAGTTATATTATGTCCTATAGATGATTTCGTTACA